TCAAGATGCAAAAGAGCAAAAGAACTGTTCTGCGTTACCAAGGCGAGAAGAATCCACGCCACCTTTGGAAAGACCGCAACGCACTGCATCCTGGTGTCTTAAGCAGCAACGCAGCGATTCAGGACTCTGGGCGTGGATCGTGCATTGATAATGTAAAATGATGATAGTACCAAATATAGTTTTCTGCTGTGCAAGTGCTGGGTGCTAATCACAGTCTTCGCGTTTCTAACTGTTTAGAGAGTGATATAACAGCGTCCAAAGCCAGAGGGGAAGTAAGAACATTCAAAACAGTCCATATGCGCCTCACTGATTGCTACTTTGTTTATGTCTCCTATAACACTATCAGCAAGGAACCTGACTTTCGGTGCCCTACTTTCTCTAATTACGGCAAAGAATTGGATACCTCTGGGTACTCACTCAGCTGTATTTTGCCTTTTTCCAGTAAATAAAGTAACGTCCCTGTTTCCTCTTATGATCAGTAAAATTTGCATTGTGTTTTATTAAAACTTTGTAAAGTGGCAGGTGCAATGCACCAGGCCCCTTTAGAGTTTGGGGCCCTTCATTATTATGATGAAGAAGTTATTTGAAGAAATCACTAAAAAGCTCGGTTAACCAATGGGATCAGATACTGAATATTAATTTTGTTATGGCCCCTTTTGGTCCTATAACACCTCTCTTGTTATGCTGTCTGTTAGGATCCAGGGAAGTTTCTTAGACTTGCTCTGCTCAACTCATTGTGAGTGAGACAATTAAGGCATAGAAATAACAGATGAAAACCTCACACTTTTTGCATAACTTGCTTCCTCTGCTAGGTTACCTCCCTTCCCTGTGCCTTGATATAGACTGTTAGTCACTCGGATCTACCTTCTATGAATAAACAACTATACTGAAACAATTATTCTGGAATCCGAATTAATTTGCCTTTTAGGGGTAACCAAATTTGCATGGTGAGAAATTCTCTATCTCACAGCAGTCCCCCATCAGGTTCATAAAGTTTACTCCTACTGAGGCCTTCTGCAGATCTTTCAATTTCATGAATAGCTAAATTTCTAGGAAATAAGTGCTGTCTGCTAACCAAATTCAACCTCTTCAGTTATGACTGACTGACTGACTGGCATGGCCCTATTTGCCCATGGAGTGAAGCTGGCGAGTGACTGATGTTTGGGAATTAGCGAACAGCTGGTTGACTCGAACTCGAAATCTGCTTTAGCTTCTTGCAATTTACATCTTTCTTGTTAAAAAAACAAGAAAATGACTTTGGGTTTAAGGAAAAAGAGAGACCACTGAAGTGGATCTGATATGATGCAGATATGGCACACTGAATATATGTATACAGATCAATGTCTATTCTGTGTTCGTCTTCTATGTTAAAAGGTTATATCTTAAAGGAATGAATGATTTTGAGGGTATTCATCAAACCGAAGTCAATGAAGTCATATGACTCGAACAAATTGCAAATTCTTACGATGTTTCAGCGAGCGTCATGGCTAAGCTAAGCTTATAAAATGAACATGAATAAATAAATCCCTATCTGAATCGTGCGTGGAATATGTCAAGGAGTATCGTGCTCTGATTGCCTGGCTAGTGTGTATCACTTTGCATCAAGGTAGAGTCACACAAACTGATATTAACGAAAAGATATTTCAGATTCCAATAATGTGCGCATTAAAGGCAAACATGCATCACAGTGTAAGAGTTAGGAGTTTCGGAAATGCTACAGATGGCCGCATGTCCCCCTTCTGTGCATCTCGGGGAACAGAAAACCTTTCCAAAACCCCTAACCCTTCAATACACTTCGTATGTCAGTTCAATCTTCGATGATATCATGTTTTGTAGCGACAAGGATACATCAAACAATGTATCAAAGTTATAGTGTAGTCGCTGCTGCGCTCAGTGTGACTCACCTGAATAAGCAGAGATAGAGCTCAGGTCTGCAGCGGCGGACACATCGGCTCAAGTGTAGATTTCTCTTGTTTGCTTCAGGTATTTATTGAGAAAAAGAAGTATGAAATGCGAAATCAGCATAATTTACTATAGAGCATTTGGATGAATTTAGACATTAAAAATCTAGGCAACTTACATGGGTTCATATATAATATCAACTTTTTAATTACAGATTTAAATGATGACTGCTTTGCAAGCAAGATCTAAAAGCACCTGTGAGTAATTAAAAAGCAAGCACTGTATATCACATGTATTCCTTTAAAGCCTGATCGATGAACTTTCATATTTGTACGCAACACACACACAAGCATTTACGTATTTAGCTATACACAGATTAATAAAGGAAGAGAAGTGTGTCCTTGGGCAGAAAATGACGCCGTAAACCAACTGATGTCTTTTGGTGAAACTAATTAAAAGCTGCATCTAAGAAGGGTATACTTCCAGATAGGCGTCGGATAAAATACAGATGCTTGTTGTAAGTACAGTGTTCATTCCTTTTTTAATTCGTCTGTCCTTTGCTTGATTGTTGTTACTGTAGTGTACGGATCCTCAATCCATACCAATACTACATTTCCATTATTCGTGCCCCACTGTGCAGAAATGTATAATAATAGCGCTCAAACTATACATCGTACGAGAACGAGGTATACTTTGGGAGAAGTCAGCATGCAAAAGTATTGTGGGAAAAAGGGAAATACTATGTACGGATGTTAGAGTGTGTGTAGTGTAAAATGCATGAACAAGCGAGACAAAAGAATGATAAGACGTAACCAGAGCGGGGAGGACGAGCACGGGAACTTCCACGTGCGAAGGATTTGAGATAATTTCAGAATATTCTTGATTACTATCCCCTTCCAGGTCATGGACAAACCTTGATTACTATTCCTTTTCAGGTAATGAGCACATCCTAGTTTCTATTACCTTCTAGGTTATCGGCAAACACTAATTACTTGGGAACGTAAAACACGTAAAAATACACTTCCTATGGAAGCCACTCAATAAGACTGATAGAATAAAGAGGAGAGCACCGGCCTATTGTTTACTTACTCGAATGTTTATGCATCAAGATGAATACTTTGCTTCTAAGTAACAATGCTCACAACCAAATACCTTAATCGAGGCGTGCTGCAGTATCACTCGATTATCCAACTATGATCCATCACACACACACTCTAGGGTTCCTCCCGCCTCAGCCTGTGAGAAAAAACTAATTTTACAGCTGTGCTCAAGGAGTACAGGAAGCAAGGTGTGTATCTTAACGTAAGAAGATTTTTGTTTCATGTTTTTGGCTAAAAGTTGAAGAGACTTCTTAAACATGTCAATAACTTTAAGCCATAATTATATTGTAATTTAGATAAAGAAATAAAATTAAATTCAAATCTCCACTTTAATGTTGGTGCTCTTGTAACGATAAAAGTGGCGGATTATACTGAAATAAGCTTCTATGATCTTTTATTCTGAAGAACTATATTTATCAACAATGAAGACAGCACATGCAAGAGTCAGGAGGGATGGGGTCCTCGCCTCAATGTGGACAGCCCCATCGTATGCATCACCAGCTTCGTCCGCGTTGAAATGTATTGTGATTAAATCGGGCGTGAATGCCCCGTAGAATTTATGTCCCGAAAAGACCTTATTTTTCGTATTATTCTCCGCTTTCTCGAGGTCATGCCAGGCTGCCGAGGGAGAATAAAGTATACTTTCCGAAAGAAAGCACTGGTAACTGGCATCGCAACCACCCAGTACGCTGCTTTACAATACAATCCACCTCCATATCGAAAGTATGATACATTTTCATCTTCTGAGAGAGAGAGTGCTATATAGCCTTGGTGCCGAGAACTATTTTTTGTGTTAACTATTAACCATTAACTATTCTGAGAAAGAAAGAAGGGGGGTGGAAGTGGCGGATAAATACGAAGTGAAAATCAAACCGAATATGTGTCTGTATTTTTTTTCTCTCGAATTAACTGTCGTAGAAAAAAATATATATGACATCGGGTAATCTATGGAGATTTTACCTTTGTGAATCATCATAGCTTAATCTATTAGTTTTATAACTGATATTGCACACTGAAGGTTTAAAATATGTAAAAGGTGTGTGCTTGTGTGTGTATTTGTATGTGTGTGATAGAGAGAGAGAGAGAGAGAGAGAGAGAGAGAGAGAGAGAGAGGCGAGAGAGAGAGATGTGAAAATTGTGTTTGTATGCGTACGTGTATGTGTTTTTCTCTTTCTCTCAGCTGTTACCCTAAGGCACAACACCTGCTGTGCAAAAAATAGATTTCATTGCTTCCATGAATCTTAATAAAGTCACCTTCACACTAGTTTTACGACTGAGGTGGCTCATTAAGCATTTAGATTATGTTAAACTGTGATGAATGTACACTTTTGCTTATCTTTTTGATTATCTTAGTGCGTTGTGTGATATAGATAGATCAATAGATAAATGAAAAACAAGAGAGGGAGAGGAAAACATAGATGCATTGATAGATAGAGATTAGTCGACACACAGCACAAATACATAAAACTTACACAATCACACACCGTTAAATATACTTACATACATGTAAATATATATATATATACACACACATACTCGGTCCTATCTACTCCAGCTATGCAATGCCTTGTGGCTACCCTAGGCCTCACCTCCCTCGTCACTCACTGCAGCAGTTTGGCCTGAAGTTGCTGTGCCACCCACGCCACCGCGACCTGCTGCCCCCGACACGCCGCCGCCTCACCGGGCCCTACGCGCCGTCAACAAACCGGTGCCCATCAGAGTCCGCACTGACCGCTACCGCCGGAGCACAATACTCGCTCTAGTCCGACTCATCAGCGAGCACTAGTCTACAATTACTAGTCCAGTTCCTATCACACCTGTATCTGCACTTGTCTTTTGTTATTTTAGTTATTTTGTTGTTATAGATTGCATGAAAATCGATAAACCTAGTATTAGTATATGTACACATGCATGTATATATAATATATATGTGTATATATATATACTTATATATATGTATACACACATATACACAGACACACACACACGTGGATATATATATACACATACATACATACATGTATATATATATATATATATACATACATACATGTATATATATATACATACATACATGTATATATATATATACATATATATGTTATATATATGTACATGTATATATAT